CCCGCCTTCCCTTATTTATTCTTGGATCTGGACTTTTAATACTCCAGTCATCTGAAGAAGTGGGTTGTGCCCACGAAAGCACATGATACCATCTACATGTTTTGTTAGTCTTTAAGGTGCTGCTAGATTATTCGTTGTTTTTTTAAGTTTTTAACTTTCTCATGTTACTTTATTTAAAATGAAGTTTGATAAACTAAAATATTATGTCCAACACAAAAGGATTCAATGTTTTCTTTGTTTATGGTAGGTATGGGGAACCTTTTTTGGGTCGGGAGCAACTGACCCACAAAAAAAATCACTTGGGGACCACAGAAGTGAGAAAAAAAAAAAAAAAAGCAAACCCCCCCCAACGCTCACTGATGTGGCCCCCAACTGAAGCACCTCACTATTCTGGCACTCCAGCCCCCACGAGGTGAAGGGAAGGGAAGGGACACAGAGGACTGAGGTTCAGGGTTTACCATAGGCCAGATTTACTCTTCTTGGGTTCCAGGGTCAGTGGATTTTGTGGACCCCCTTTAGGCTCTGGGGGGGGACTACAAATGAGGGGCTCAATGTGCGAGACAGGATTGCCTGTGAGTAGGATTGGGATACAGGATCTGAGTGGGAGGTGAGGTGCACGGCAGGGTCTGGAAGACAGTTTGGTGGCAGGAGGGTGTGAGTGGGACTACGAGAAGAAGTTAGGGAGTGAAAGGGTGCTGGGGGAGTAACAGAGAAAAGGTGAAAGGGTGAAAATGCAGCCAAATAGTTAGCTGGGGAGGGAGGCAAAGAAGTGGGGAGTAAAGGAAAGTGCAGCTTCTGCAAATTGTATCCACCCTCACATCTTCCCTCTGCTCCAGCCTCACTCCCCTCAACCCCATGATATCTCCCCTCCCCATTTGTCCCTCAGTGCAATCCCTGCATCCTCCTTCACCCAGGCAGCTGCCCCTCTTTGCTCCAGCCCAGCTGGCCACGGTGATCAACCAGCTGAAGTTGCACCACGCTCCACCTGGGCTGGATCAAAGAGAGGCAATCGTCCAGCCAGTTGGCTGCCACAATCGACCGGTCGATCCGATTGACCAGTTGGTTACCACTGCTATAGCAGATTTTTCAGAAAAGCATGCAGTCTCTATTTAAAAATGGTCAGTGCTGGAAAATTGACCAGGATCCCTTTATAAATTGAAAAATTTCCCATTTCAAAATATTTTTGGAAAAAAAGCTTTAGAAATTTTTTCACCATTTCTTCAAGTGACCCCAAAATTCTTTTTCAAATTCTTACCCCAATTCAGAATTAAGAAAAAATGCTTTTTCTGTCCAGCACTACTAACTCCAAGTGTGATCAATGAGTGCTTAGCCCAGGGGTCTCAAACTCACAGCCTGGAGGCCATCCCCGGCCAGTGTAGTTGCGCAGTCCAGCGGGGGAAGGGAGGCTGTCCATTCCCAAGCTCCAAGCATTCCCGCCACCACCTTGCCTTCTCCCGCCATGGCACCCTGTCCCAGAAGCCACATCCTTGGGAGGGAACAGTGCAGTGGCAGACAGTGGATGAGGTTTGTGGAATGAGATTGGACAGGCCCACTCCTGGACTGGATTGTGAATCTGCTTTGGCCCGGGATGGCCTGCAGACTGAGTGTTTGAGACACCTGGCTTAGCAATTCTGAAAATTTGTCTTGTGATGTATAAAGAAATCCTGTGATTCAGAGTGTATTTTAAATAATTAAGGATTTTGTTTTAAGCATTATCTCTTTTCATTGTAACTCTTTTCATAGGGACAGGATCCGGACTTGGTACTTTTGTACTGAATGTGCTTGAGGATGAGTTTCCAGAAGTGTATAGATTTGTTACTTCAGTTTATCCTTCTGGAGAAGATGATGTAATTACTTCTCCATATAATAGTGTTCTGGCTATGAAGGAACTTAATGAACATGCTGACTGCGTGCTGCCAATTGAAAATGAAGTAAGAAAGTATTAAGATTCTTGCCAATATCTCTTATGCTGAACATTATATAAAAAATGTTTCTTCCTTGAAATGTTATAAAACTTATTTTCTAAAAGAACCAAAGTGATGTAGGCTCTTAAGCACTAAAAGTCATTTTTTTGAAAGAGTCTTATGGTCCCTTGTTACTTTGGGTGAATATGGTGGTGGGTGGATTGTTGTTTTAAATGTTATCCTTATATTGGGAATCATTTAAAAATTGCCCAGTATTTTTTTTTCCTTGCTTACAGAAATGGTCTATAGCACTCAATTTTATTCTTGCATCAGCTTTAAGATAAACAGTGAATGATTGCAAAAATCTTTGTTTTTTGAGATCCTTATTCTAAACTTATATCTGTTGGTTTATAAACAATATTTGCCCCATGCAAAACTGATTTTTTTAAATTTTAAAATCTCTTGTACTGTCTTCTGAATTATATGAACATGAGAACAAATACAGGTTTTTCTGTATTTGAATAAAAATTAAACTTCATATTTTCTTCATACATTTGAAGAAAAGTGGTTCACAAATACATTAGCCAATTGCAAATGACCAAACAGTGAAGCAGACTTCAAAGATACAAATGTAAACATGAGCTACTCTGCTTAAATGTTTGTTCTTGGATCCTGTTTAACAGAAACAAACAGGAATGCTGAATGCTCTTGTGCACAACTACTTGGAACCTTTTTTTAAAAAATTTTGTTTCATTTGTTTTCTCTCCAAGTCTTTATTTTCTATAGTTAGTAAAATTCATCAGATGACCAATTCTGGGAAGCTAGGATCAACTGTGAAACAAAATAGCTTATTAACCTCAAGTGCAGGCAGTATTAAAACGGAACAGGAGAAACCATTTGATGCAATGAACAATATTGTGGCTAACTTGTTGCTGAACTTGACAAGGTAAACTTACTGTGTATTCTTGTATGCAAGTAATGCCTTGAGAGATGGATGCACAAGGGACATTCTGCACTTCCAAAAATATGATCGATTCTCAGTTTGGTATTAGTTAGCAGTTGTAATTAAGAGTTAATAAGCAACTTTCAGGTCTTGTAAAAGCAGTCTAATGCAGCAGTTCTGCCTACCAGGCCACAGCACATTGCCAGGCCATGTCCCCAGCTTTTTATTAACCCTACCCACTGGGGTTCCCCATAAGGGAATTCCCTTCCCACTCATTTCCCCGTGCAACATCAGCAGGGTGAGTGAGGCAGCCGGGTGAATTGCGGCTAGCACTGGGGCAGCCTCACTGTGGCCCTGGTTCCAGCTCCGGCAGCCGCTGTGTGGCCTGGCTTGCAGAACCACATGGGACCGGCTGGGGGGCTGGGGAAGCAGCACAGGCTGGGTGGTGGGGGGAGCTAGGGCCTGCTGCTTCCCCAGGGTGAGTCTGGGGCCTGCCCAAACAGCTGAGGCTAAGCCCACCTGGTGGGCAGCTACTCTGACAACTGGGCCTGAATAACATAATATGGGGGAGCACAGGAATCAGGGTTGGAGTGTATGAAGGGCCTGGGGCTGGACATACATATTTTGGTGAACCGGTAACATTTTATTTGCATCTTTCCATATTCATTATTTTCATTATAACAATGCAAATACGCAAATAAAATGTTACCAGTCTGCCAAAAGTTTATGAATAGGTTTGCCAGTCCCTGGTATAAAAAAGGTTGGGAATCACTGGTCTAATTAATTCATTTGATGGGTTACCTGACAAAGTGGCTTAATTTTAGCACAAGGAAACTACTAACAAGGGGTATGTCTACACTTGCACCCTCTTTCGAGAGAGGGATGCAAATGCAGACATTTGAAATTGCAAATGAAGTGGGGATTTAAATATCCCGCTCTTCATTTCTATAATTGCGTCCGGTGACTATTTCAAAATAGCGCTATTTTGAAATAACAGGCGCTGTTTAGATGCTGTTATTTTGAGAGAAAACCCTTCTTTTGAAATAACTGTTAAACCTCATTTTATGAGGAGTAAGCATTATTTTGGAAGAAGGGTTTTCTCTTGAAATAACCCTGTGCCTGTTGTTTTTGAAATAGCTGCCAGACACGATTATGCAAATGAAGCGCGGGATATTTAAATCCCCGCTTCATTTGCAATTTCAAATGTCTGCATTTGCATCCCTCTCTCGAAAGAGGGTATAAGCGTAGACATACCCAGGAAGACTAGAAGAAACCCTGTCCCATTTGAAGTAGTAGCTAAACTATCATTGACTTCAGTGACACCCCCAGACTTTACGATTCCTCCTACTGAATCTGTGATACAGATGATGAAAGGCATGTGAATTCTTTGGATTGATACTCTTCTAACTTGCTGTCCTAGCTTTACAAGAAAACTTGCTCTTGGCTTAAAAAAAAATTGTTTATCCATCCTTTGTCCTAAAGATCTATTTTCGTTTGATTTTTGAAAATGATTTAGTCACCCATTGAAGGAAAGGATTACTCCCCAAAGGCAAGTAGAATGTTAAGGTGTTCAGATCTAGGACACTTGTGCTGTGTATCGAGTAGGTGTTAAATATATGCTTGAAAATAAATTTAAAAGTAAGAAGTTATTCATGAGTGATTTTCAAAAGACAAATTGAAGTACTGTACATTCAAATATAAGAAAATATATAAGTAGCAAAAACTTCATTTTTACCATTATTGAAACAGGAACCTACTGATATAAGACAGCATATAAATGTGTACTCTTCAAGTAGTAATGCAGAACCTCATGATAGAGATGTGAGTAGTCATGTGTTCAACTATTTGATAAAGCTAAGCTTATCAGGTAGTCAAGTACTCGACTACTTGCTCTCCTCCCCCGTCCCCTCGGAAACAGAAGCCAGGGCTGTGGGGAGCTGGCTTAAAAACCAGTTTCCCGCCTCTCCCCCACCCCCCTGCACCATCTCTGCAGTGCTGCCTGTTCTCTCACCTGCCCCAATAGAGGCTGCGGGGGAATAGGGGAGGCTGCTGGGGTCCCCTCTGCATGGGGGCTGCTGCCATGAAGCAGCCTCTGCCCCGGCCACTGTGAACAGGGGCTGCTGGACCTGGGCCAAGCTGGGACCTAGCAGTCCCAGCTCAAACTGGTCCGGGATTGCTGCACCTCTGCATTATGAATGTAGTAAGAGCTGGGTAGCTCTTACTACATTTCAAATGCAGCAGCACAGCAGTCCCAGCTTGCGCTGGCTTTGGGACTCCTCAGTCCCAGCTCATGCTGGCTTCCGGAGCCACCTGTGCTGCAGCTCTGCAGAGTGGCCCCCCTTATTGACTAATCGTGTAATCGATACAAATTGTATGGACTATATAATTGGCCAAAAAACTGCTCTTTAACATCCTAACTCATGAATATACCTGCTGTCCCCAAAATACTAGTTGTTACAGGCAGTCACCGGGTTACGTACAAGATAGGGACTGTAGGTTTGTTCTTAAGTTGAATCTGTATGTAAGTCGGAACTGGCGTCCAGATTCAGCCGCTGCTGAAACTGATCAGTTTCAACAGCTATATAATTGGCCAAAAAACTGCTCTTTAACATCCTAACTCATGAATATACCTGCTGTCCCCAAAATACTAGTTGTTACAGGCAGTCACCGGGTTACGTACAAGATAGGGACTGTAGGTTTGTTCTTAAGTTGAATCTGTATGTAAGTCGGAACTGGCGTCCAGATTCAGCCGCTGCTGAAACTGATCAGTTTCAACAGC